CTTTACACTACAGAAGTAGTATGTGATAAACTAAAAATATACCGAGAGTTCGAATATCACTTATCTAACTTCTTGGAAACTACCACACAGTCTCTTACCTAGCAGTGGAGGCAGGAGAACGACGTCCAGGGTAGGCAAAGCAGAGATTATAGAACAGACGTGGATATGGGGGCATGCGCGTCATCCCATTCCCGCGTGTTCTTTTAATATTTTCAATACTAATATTCATTGTATCACATATCAAAGGAATTGTCTCCTCTTAAATACAGTATGATATTTTGCATTTTTCTCTCCAACATAGTATAACTTCTTTTTAATGCGCGCAAAAAATTGACCGCCAGATTCTGAGCTTTTGAGATGATTTCGTAGTTTAGAGACCCAGTAACTCACGACAAATACAAGAAAAATGAAACAGTTTCTATTTGACTAGAAAATTCAAATATAGAATTGTGATATTATGCCTATTATCTTACTGCGCGTACCGATGATATTCTATACTCAGTGCGTATGAGATGCACACCACGTAAGGCGAGACATCCAGGAAGAGGCCGCGCGCCATTAAATATTTGCCATTCAGTTTTTGCAAGAGGGCATGGAGCAGGAACGTTTTTTTCCTTATATAACTCCTGTACTGTGCAATTACATATATCATTAAGGTATTGCCGAATTCATGTAGAACATTTTGTTGAAATATTTAATTTATTGTAGTGTTACATGAGAGTATTTTATTTGTTTTTCTTGAGCTGCGTGCGTGCTTCTTTTTGGAAAACCATTTATGTGGTTTTGTTCAATAGCATTTTTGCTCTTGCAGGCCACCTGTTGCCCAATATGCTTTAGTACATCTTTAACGCCGTTGTGAACGTAGTAAATAATGTCATACGCTTCCGCGGTTAGTCACACGAATGGTGACGCCGCGTCGAAAACTGAGAGGCCGGCGCGCCACATGCCTCCTGCTTCACAGCCCTTTTTGGCGGGCAGTACTGAATAGCTGGAGCAGGCCTACCCCAAAGAGCGCCCATACCAGGGTGCTTTGCCGCGGGGGCCATGCGCCAAATTTCAGGCCGGGTCTGGAAAGACTAGGTTTTAGATGGGAGTTACCGCCAGCGCCCGGGCTTTACTCTCTTTCAGTTCTCCAAACAAATACTTCTATCCTGTTTTCGAATTACAAATCACCAAGTAAGATAGGTTAGATTTTAAAATTATTAGGAAGAGATTTTCTCTTCTTTTGTCTAATTAAGCTAGCATGATTTTTCAGTACAAGCTCTTGCAATTAGTTCTTGGAAGCACAGTAAGTACACTCCTCCAATCGCACAGAAGTGATGCTGTTGCGATTTCAGTGCTGCGGGGCGGTCCGCCCCTAAAATGGTGTAAAAACTGAGAGAAGTGTGTCTATCGATAGCCCGATTGGGAGTGCCCAGAGCAACAACAGCACATACTTTCTCTCATTTCTAAATTTGCAATTTTTGAAATTTCAGAGAATTGGACAAAAATGAGATTTGCGCCTTTCTTTTAAGAATCCTTCACGATATCCGACAATACAGTTTAATCAAACTAGTGGTGCAACAGAATGGCGCAGACTTTCCCTGTTAGTTTTCTATTTCCTTTGTTCTCAGTTATTCGAACTTGCCACATACTCTTGCCTGCTGCCCAAAGTACATTTTTTAAAACATTTTCTTAATTTTTCGGTTTCCTCACTGTAGAGCGGAAATATTTTGAAATTATTAAAGAATGGTAAAACCTCGTCCTAAATGGCAATTTTCTTTGAAGAATTTCGAGTCGTTTAAAAAAACTGGCGTTTAAAGGCTATTCTCTTAAACGCTATTGACACTACCCGACAACAAAATTTAATCAGAAACGATGGAGCCCTCCCCCCCAAAAAAATTAAAATTCACGGGGCCGCGACATGAGCCAGATCGATTGGAGAAAATCAGCTGAACGGTTTAGCCGCTAGCGGTTGTTCACAGACTGACAGACGTTTTGTCGTCATTCGATGTTTCAGTATTAAGGAACTACAAAACGTGAATTCTGGCAACACCACGCGTTACAGAATTTTTTTCTAAATTTAGCAACTGCATTTCTCTTCTCTTTCGTTACCAGGGCCCAGTAACACAAGTTTTTATACTGACAATTCGCCGTTTTTCGCGCAGCTTTACATTACTTCCATTCAACTCCGTTGCGAGAGAGTAAAAGAAAAAAATCGCACTACCTTGATTTTGCTAATGTTTCAAATTCAATCAGCAACTCGAAAAATCATTTTCATCATTTCGAGATGTTCACTTACACGAAATGACTACAAACGTCCCCTTTGCATTGTCGTGGTCGCAGTGTTGCTTGTGATGGAGGGAGATACGGATTCGAAGGAAGGATTCGTCAGGGATTCCCCGTTTCCTGAGCTTGACCGCGCGTGAGTCGCCCCAGCTTACACGGAACATCAGATAAGCCCTGAATAACTAATAATTGCCATCGATTACTTACGCGCATGTTTACGACGAGCTACAATCGAGATCGTGTCTTCGCCAACGGCGCTAGCCACTGATGCACCGGCAGGCTTGCACGAAGTACATAAGAATTCACATGCTTACGGTCCCGCAGCATAGGACCTCCTACCAACATTTCAAAATTTTAATTAATTGTTAAGTCTTTCCAAAATATTTTAATAATAAATTTTAAATTACAAAGGGTATCGCTTAATTTTATTGAAATACACATGTTTAATTTCTTCTTGGGTACTATGTAACTACTTACATCTGTATTGAGAGGTTTCGGTGAATGTGGTGTTTTTTCTACACAAAATGGAATTGTGATTCCCTGGTACCATAAATGACATTCTTTGATCGGTCTGGCTGAACTCAAGGCCCTGAGGATTTCAAAAGGATATTTTGATTTTCCGGGGTACTTTACTTCAAGCCTCAATATTTTCATTTTATTTTTTTCTAATTATCCCTTTTTTTTCTTGGAGAGAGCAACCTTATAACTTCTGAAAATATATAATGGCACAGACTTTCTCATGCTAGTTGGTTCCCGATTTGATTGTCGGCAAAAAATGGTTTTCCCTTTGCTGCAGATCTCTATCGGTCCCTAGATGACCTACTCGCCTCTCGCTTTACCTACCGCTCCTCTGGAGTCATTCCCCATGAAGAAAACCTTCGCACTCCCATCATCACATAGATTTATCTTAATACTGTATTTTTGTATATTTATTCATGGTTGTTTGTACCATAGTTCTGGGAATAGGGATCCAGTTCCTCGATTACCAAATTGAACACCAAGATGCCTGTCAGGCCAAGAGATTACAGAAGGATTAGATTATAGATGTAATACAGGAGAGAGTCAGAATGCCATTTGTGCCACGGACACAAATTATAACATTCATACCTTTCGCAGGTTTTGGATCCACAACCTTATTGTTTTCGTACTTGAATTCACTTGCTACAAGTACCTTGTCTTACACGCCTGACACACACACTTCTTAATATTGTTTGTAAACATTCTACACTATTGACAATAAATACAATGTTAAAGACAGATTTGTTCTTTAAGTTTGATCTTCAAACAGGTCTTGAACAATTTTTTGAAACTTTGAGTACCTAGTTTTCATGTAATTTTTCATAAAATGTATGGAATTTTAAAAATAGATTGTCTCACAAATAGTTCCAAATCTTATGTTTAAATTTGTTCTCATTGTTAATTTTTTTAGAGCAACTTATGCTTATAAAAAATTCTCAGGTTCCAATTTCAAGAAATTCTCTACATTTTCAAAAATTAAAAAAGTTTTGAATTCCTTAATGGAATCAGTACTCATCATAGACATTGCCACATACCGTTTACCACATACATTTAAAGCCACATAGACAACATGGTTCAATAAATCGTTTTTATGGAAATTTTTTGTTTAAAAATAAATCTGTTTTACACAAGTGAGTCACACCACTGAGTTCACAAGTGGTTCCAGCAAAAATTAACTTTTAACAGAGGTGGTTTGCTTAATCAAGGTTACATGGATATAGCAAAGCATACATCAGGTCTAATTGTGTGAACTGTAAAGAATTAAAATATATTTTTTATAAAGTCAGTTTAATGACCTTAAACTACAAAATACAACTTGAAGAACAAATTTGAATTATAAAATACACACTAATACGTTTAAATATGGATTTTACTCGCTCTTTAAGAAAAAATGTCTCTTAGAGTTGTTTGATTAAGAAATTTCTCTTTTAAGCTGCACAAACTTCTCGAAACTGCCTTTTTTTAATAATTTTGTTAAGTAGTCCTGCTCTTAAAGCCTCTCTCCGAAACCTTTAGTGTTTTGTGGGATCACTTGCCACCTCTTGGCTTGTGTCAAAACACCCTTACTTGTCATTTATTCCCTTACTCACAAACCTAACTTTCTGTTCACAACAAACCCAACACACAACTTGTTGAGAACAGTTGAGAACAACTTGAGAGAACCAAATCAAGACTTCAAAATGCAGTTCACATTCACAACCGACTGAATTCATGCCCAGGGTATTTGCTACAGACCATCGAATAGTTCTCATGGGGAGGAGAAGCAAAGGACAGCAAACTTCAGAAGAATGCAATGGCCAAAACTAATGCATTGATATTTCATAGAAATATTATATAACTTATCTTTGATACCTGAATCAGAATTTAATCCTCCAGTCAGTTAAGCAACTCTTGATGCCACTATTCGTAGTAATGTGACACTGCATCACTTCGCAAGAAGATATTCAATGAACCACACCTCCACAGCTCTACCACCTTCCCTACCTTCTTGTTCTACAACAGTTTTAAAATGCTGCGGGCAAAATTGATAAATTAAAATAGATTAAATTGCAAAATTGCAAATGGATGTCAATCTATGAAATTTGTCCGGCTGCTGGCTGTTCAAATGAGAATATTTTTCACTTGTCTTATAAAAATATTAAGCCATTAAAAGAGCTGACCACTTAAATGAAACAGACACTGGAGAAGGTTTCACTGTCCACATGTTGTATAGTTAACAATTTTCAAAATAGCTTGAAAAACAAAAAAACAAAACAAAAAAAAAAGTTTGGACTAGTTCATCACATATTCTTTAGAACCATTGACAATATCTCTTTCACATGATTGAACAATTGAAGTGTGTAACATAATAAAAAACCATTGTTAAATTTGCTGAATATACCACAGTTTGTAAGTAGTCAATTTAAGCAAAAATGATTGTATGCCGTGGCTATAACAAATTAACTGCATAAAAGTTAAATACATATCCATCTTGCCCACACTCAATCATAAGCTTATGAAATAGACATTTATAAGTGAGAAATGTTTTGCTTTGCAATGCTTAGAGCTGCAATTAGTATGTCTTTGATGATAAAGGGATATTTTTTTTTAATATTTTAGGATATTTCCCATCCTTATCTCATTTACAATATGCTTTTATACATTGGACATTCATTAACTCACAATAAACAAAAAACTCAATTAACACATCTCACACAAATCAAAATTTCCCTCTAATTTTTAAAATATAAAAAAAATCTTCCTTGAGAACCTCTGCAAAAATTTGACGTTAATTTCTTACCTGTTATGAGTTCACTTTCCACTCAGTGGATTACAGAAGCCTGATACTGTCACTATCTCTCCATATGGTGTCCCATGCACTCAAGCACTCCATCTATTGAAGTTGGTCTTGTCGTACATAGAAGCAAACACTTATGCTCCAACGTGATATGCACAGAAACAGATGTTGATACTCGCCATGTGCAGCTCACTCCCCAGATGAATGCACTGCACTGATTATTTTCCCTCATGTTTTTACTCAGAAACGGTAACTTGGAGTAAATTTCTGTATCAGATATCCACCACCACTTCTGCCACCACCACCAATTCACTTTATACAGCAATGACTTGTTTGAATAAACTCCCTTACAAATTCTTCAATGCTACACGAAACACAATCCTAATAGCTGAAGAAGAGGCTGGGACAACACTTCTATATTCATACAGTGACATTAACAAAACCACCATTTTTCATTTTTTTTTTGAATTCATATACCACTCACCACTTCCACACCTTACACTGTCCCACAATATTCTAATCTACTCCACTGAATAACTAATTAAAAAAATTAAGAATTCTGATAAAGGAGATGTAGGGAGTAAGAATAGAACAAAATATTTTAAGAAAACAACTTGTATTAGTAATAATAGGCTCTGATTATTGTTATAGAAATTAAAACTCTCAGTTCTCTAACCTTACAAACTAAACAAGTCAGTCCATGTACAGAAGACAATTGTACAATACTTAAGGAATCAAGGCCCAGCACAACACTTTTTGAGATCACCATGGCTGGGAGACAGGAGCTACAGCTTACGTAAGTCAAGAACAAACACCTGGAACAAGACCACACAAAGAGGTTAAATTAAATGCCAAGTTCAAGCTTCAAACAAGATAAACAAACTGATTCAAGTATCTTATTCATATTTCAACAAGGCTCAAGCCTCATAACTGTTGAGTTTGAACATATTCATCACAATATCTTAATAATTTATTCTAATTTGGTTTTAAAAATATATGTAATAAAACTTTAACAATGCAGCTCAACGAAAATAGAATTTATATATATTCATAAATGAATGAAGAAACATAGACCAAACAGTACAAATTAATTTGTATCATAAAAGATTGTTTATTTCTTTTCAAAGAATGCACCCCACTTAATTTCTACAAACAGACAGACACGTGTACATTAGAAGAGTAGAAGCAACTCAAAAAACAAGATTTCTTGCAATTACTTACGCTGCCATCAGAGGCACTAGCACCAACTTTGTCACCTCTCGAATTCCAACATACTTCAAAAATGCCCCCGGTACCCTTGTAGCTATGCACCAATTGTCCACTCTGCAAGAAAATTAATGAGATTAATATATTATAATCAACAGCAGAAAAGAAATATTATTGGTTTGTAAAACCCTTACAAATAAACCATTTCTAGTCAATCTTTTGAAAATTTTATGGACAATATTGAGGCACACGAATTTCCAATGGTATTTTGTAAGCACTCATTACATATCAATAATGAAACCCAGCAGAATGGCATTAATTTCATATATATTGTATATTTACCAACAATTCACTATACATTTATAACTAAATATTAAATTGGGAGTATACTGCTGTCAACAAATCAGAAAGTAAGCTAGTATTGAGAAGTATTTTACCAATTCTCAAATATAAAACAAAAGTAATTAACAGAAAAGTCGAAATTATTTAGAATTGCAGGCCTATCTGTTGAAAAATTTGTGTTAATCTTTTCATATATAGAAACAATTCATTAATTCACTTAATCTTTATATTAAATAAATATATTAAGTATTTCATAGGGTCATGGGTAAGAAAGTCAACTTTATGTTTATAACAAATTTCTGAACAATTTCATCATTAAAATGGTGTGTGTTTTCTCTAATTGACAATTCTAATTATTTTAAAATTCTGAACGTATACGATAATCTGCAAAAGCAATGTGGTCCTGACAGTCACTCTTCTCACATTGTATTTTTTTATTTTATTTAGAGGATATAAAGGATTTTGAATGTATGTGCCCATAAATCACTGACAACTGGAAGGTCCCCAGTAACATCATTGTTTTGAGTTATTTTCGATGGTGAATAGATTATGATCTCAGAACAAGTATGGGCTTGAATAGCAAAAAGATTTGTTTTTCTTTAGCCAATATATTAACATAGCAAAACACATTCAATTAGATATTTATCAAGTTCCATCTATTGAAGGTAATATGACAAAATGTAATTTTAAAGATCAAATGTACATAGACTAGGCTCATAGCACAAATAAATCAATAAAATAAATAACTATGATAAGAAGATGAAAGGCAGAAACAATCAGCGGGGGGTGGGGGAAACCCTTGGAAGTATGTGCCCAACACCTGAAAAGAAGTGCTGGAAAGTGGCAAGTTGAAAAGGAAGGCCCTGACAATCAAATATTCAGTAGAGGAATGAGTTAAAAATCTCTGTGCTTCATTTAATGTAAATGGAAATTTTCAGTACAAAAGGAATGTTTTCTTAATTTCTTTTTAGACTCCTTTCTGGCAAATTGCACATCTAACGTAACACTTGTAAATACAAACTTTAACGAGAGATTTTTCAGAAAAAATATTTTTCATTAAAAATAGCTGTGGTATATTGCATTTGGGACGAGGGGGGGGCCTTCCACGGGTTTGGAAACATTTACATTTTCACAAATAATATAAATTTCACAAAAACTTCTAAATAAAGTGTATAATATCAAGTTTTATATAATATTATGGGAAATATTGAATGAGATGGCTTTCACAGTTTCTAAGAAAATATTCTTTACAAATTCACATTTTAATACAGGAAATAAAAAAATTCACCATTTCCAAGTGCCCAAGTCTTGCGTCATTAACTTATTGAAATGTACTCACTTGAGTGGACCAGATATGCACGCATTTGTCAAAACTTCCAGACGCAAGGTACTTTCCATCAGGAGAAAAGGCAACACTATAAACAGGTTCTGTATGTTTAGTCAGAGTATGGATACACGCACCACGCTCGACATCCCATAATCTAACAGTGGAGTCGAATGAAGCACTACAAAAGAATAAAAAACAATAAATTAGATTTTGTTTTGAAGTATCTAAGTCATTCATGCACAAATGAAATTTGTTAAGTTCAAACTATTTACACACACTATAATATGTAATTTTGTTTTTAAGAATCAAAAATAATCAGGTCCAACTATCAATTTGCCTGTAGACTTTTCTTGTTCTACGACATAGTTAAAAACAAAATAATAAATAATATAGTACACCATTATTCCAGGACTCCCTCAATTTTAATTATCAAAAGAAAAGAAAAAAAAATGTGACTTAGGAGAAAATTACTCAAAAATATTATAAATTGACTAGAATACTGACAATGCGATACTAGCTTTACTAGTATACCGACAATATGATATGATTTTCATACAAAACACTGACTACATCTTTTCATCTTCTTTTAACCTATTCTCGCATAAAAATCACCGAGATAACATGGTGCCCTAAACTTGTCATGGGGCAATTACCCTTTGATGTTTATGTACAATTTAATCCACCTATAACTAGAATGAAACTTGATTCTGTGAAATCCGATTTTAAGATAAAATATTTCTGGTTCCAGAAGTACTGTTAAAAGAATTTCATATTTACTTTTGCATGTACACTACATGCAAGGTACATTGGCCTTATTCAACAACAGTTCAAGATTTCTGGATCACCATTCACTATTTCCAACAAAGTAACACAAAAGCAACACACAGCCAGAGAAAATTAGTGGGAATGCATGGAATACTGAAAGTTACCTTCCTCCTTGTGTTATTAAACAATTATTCAATGTTTAAAAATTTCATTTAAAGGTCTACAACTGAATGAATTTGTAGAATGTAGAAAACCAAGCCATAAGAATCAATATGGTTGAAAAATGGCTTGGAAAGTTGGGACACACAAAATTTCAAGCACCAATGATGCATGCTCAAAATAAGAGGTGTGGGATGAGGCAGTAGAAAAGTTCTTAATATTCACTACATGAAAAGACAACCCCAAAAACTTCGTTTCACGTTGATCACCATTAAGTAACAGAGACTAACGAAATAATGCAAGTTGACACGTACTGGAACAATGCACAATATTTCACTGCGACCTCAACATCTTTCTGAGAGTTTAAAATCTTTCTAAAAACATAATGGAAAGGTTTTATATTTACCAAGATGTGTTCATGTATACTATACAGAAATAGGGCAAAGAAATCCTGCTGCCCACCTTACCTCAAAATGTATTGATTATAATCATGGACATTCTTTGTGAAAGGACACAGTATGTGTCAAACTTTTTAGGTATTGCATTTACATACACTCACAAATTTTATTACTCCTTGAACATAAGAAAACTCCTTATGTTAGCTTCTCTAATAAACACCTTACCCTCATGTTTTCTCAAAGAGGAAATGTTAAATGCTTTCAATAGATCTATTACAACCAACACAATAAAATAATGAACTAATGACAGAACATTAGCATTCACTCTATTAATTTCACGATTCTATTAAAATTTAGTTTTTATACTATAAATCTGAATAATACTGGCAACCGATAAAACGTGCTAGCCCCACTACCTTTCTTTTAAAGCAAAAATCATTAAATGTGGTTGAGTGGAAAGCTCAAACTGTTTTCTAAATAAAAACCCTTTCTTTTAAATAAATGTTTGGAATTTTTTATTTCTAAACATCTGAGATTTTAATGAAAATTGGAATTTTACCATATTTATAAATGCACTCTCTTTTATAGAAACAAAACATTTCAAGAAACAATTTTCAGCCACTTTCAAGAAAATGTTGTAGTGTAAAGTATACTCAAAAATTCAGAATGATATTTGGAACAGCATAACTAGATCTTACTTCTGAGTATTTATTATGTTTCAGTTCAAAACATCTAAAGTAACCGAGTTGTGTGTGATTCATCCATTTATAAATACAAATAGATTTTCAGGTACAATTTGCATTCATCTTCTATTCACCTGCAAGAATCTAATTTGAAATAGCACCAATAGACTGATGTGCATGCAAAGATAGAGCTGAAAAGAACCTTAAACATAGATTTTATGACCTACAAGAGAGATTATATTGTTCAGGTCCTTACTTTTCCTGCCTACATATACTATGTATTGGGAGGCAAAGTAAAAAAAGCACAATACATAGATAACTGAAGCCACCAGGAGAGGTGCAAATATTTGTTTGTTTCAGGTGTATTTAACTTGTCCCAAGTTACTGTTATTCACACTATTTGTGTTATACTAGTCACTGATTTTGTCTTTGGACATGAAAATGTAAATCGTGTGAGGAAAATTTATACTTTTTATAATTGAAATTAACCTAACTCCATTCGGTGTAGATCTTCATTTAAGCTATAAAAAAGAGTTGGCCCCAAGGATTACTCTTAAATAGTTTAACTGTTTTTAATAAAGAAAGCTTGATCAATACACTGAACAATACACATCATAATGCAACATGGAAAATATTACGAGACTTTAAAATGCATATTATTTCCCCATCATGTCTCACCTGGCCAAGATAAGATTCATATTTGGATTATGAGTACCAGGTCCCGTTGGACTCCATTTGATAGTATAAATTTCTTTACTGTGAGCTTGGAGGTCATGCACACAAGTATCCTGCTTCATTGACCAGATTTTCAAAGTCATGTCATCAGAACACGATGCTAGCAGGTTACCTTGAGGATCCCATTTGATGGCATTCACTTCATTCTGCAAATTTCAGTAAGAAGTTATTTTTTGAAATAAATTTACCAATTAAGAAATGATAAATGTAGTATCAAGATCTATATTCTGATGAAATCACTCACAGTATGACCCTGGAATGACTTAATAGGTTTATCAACACTCAGTTTGCAAACGTGAATGCACTGGTCTGTGCTACACGAGGCAAAACTTTGATTGGTCTGCCAATCCACATCCAGGGCAGGTGCTGAATGGAACGAGAACTGTTGAGTGCACTGGCCAGAGGCAGCATCCCATATTATTGTAGTCTGAAATAAAAAAGAAACCTCAGTATTTTCTTATAGTTATTAGATTTTTGAGTGACAAAAACACGTAATATTAAATTATTTTTCTTCCTATAATAGGCACAGCTTGTACCCTGATATTACAAATTACACCACTTCACTTTTTCATAAATTTACCTTATCAACACCTGCACTCAGAATGTAATTGCCTCGTTTGTTCCATTTAAGAGCGAAGATGGGTCCTTTGTGTTGACCGAGAGTACTTGCAAGTCGGCCATCAGTTGTCCAAATACGTGCATAGCCATCATAAGAGCCAGTAGCTAAAAGGGTGCCATCGCACTGTATGCACAAAAATCAATATTACAATAACATAATCACCTTTAAGAAGCAATTATAGTATGTATTTCCTCAAAAACTACACACTTTAGAAGAAGCTGTAGAATTTAAATAATGTTAAGATTTTAATACTTTGTTGGACATGAAATGAAAGCATAATTGGAGCTTAAAAAATGTAATAAGAAATACAACATGGTTCCAACTCCAGCTGAGAAAACAAGAGGCATGGATCAACAGTGGCCCTAAATTTTAAAAGAAAAGTTCGACTTCCCCAATACATTAAGATTTCATTTCTTCTATGCAACAAAAATAACTAATAATCATATATTTAGTTAATATATATGTTCATTTGAATTAGAAATAAATACTTTTTGTTGCTTTTGAATGGCAAAATAATTTTGGGGTCCCAATTAAGTTGTGGTCTGGGCAATTTACTTCAGCTCTCTCTCCTCCCCTTCTGGCCACCTCTATTCAAACCAATCATTCTACATTAAAACTCAAAAATATATTCTTTAAAGAGGTTTCAATTACAAAATCAGTATGTAAAATATGAAGAAACAGCAGACAATACAGATACATGCCATCAAACAAATTATGAAAAAATTGGGTTGGTAGTCATAATGAGAGTTTGTGCAGATAAATATCTGATCAAGAATAGCTATAAGCTAACAATAAAATTAAACTTTATGGCTTTTAATTGAGCAAACTATTAAGAATTCGACTTTAAAGTTTTGGTTATGGTAATGTTAAATATAATTCACAGTATCAGCCTTAAAGAAATGAATTCAAAGAGAATAATCTTTGCTGTTAACTCACAAATCAAATTTGAGTACTCACATTCCAATCCAGAGAAGTCACATCTTTGTTGCTTGGTACCTCTGTGCCTCCCTTCTGGATGCAATGTCTAAGTACAAGTTGATTTGGAGAAGCAGAATTATCACTCATATCCCAAATACGAGCGGTACTGTCCCCGGAACTGAAAAAATAATAGAAACAAACCTGTTAAAAACCGTTTCCTTCAGATGAAGAGAGAAGAATCCACTCATTTCAAATGTGATGTGCAAATAATACATATTAGTACAAATTTATATCAACGTGAATTAAAATCATCAAAATATTCACCGCTCCTAAAATTTCTGAATACATTTATACTGCTTGACATAACAAAGTGCAAGTCTTTTCATCAAATGCTTTTGTACCACCTTCAAAACTAATAAAATTGTGTACAACTAAATTTTAAAGCAAACAAATTTTACTAGCACATCTTTCAATTTTCTATCCTAAGTATTAAGGTGGTATTCTCCTAAACAAATGTTAAGAAAAAGATCATTAGAGATTAAAATACATGAAAAATATATATAATAATCTAGAAATATTATATTTCGTGAAACTGCTTAAATACAGCTATAAATTTTGTATTTGATAAACATGAATTGCAAATTAAGAACACATTTTTTCCTCCTCTTATGTGAAGTTCTCCACAATCCAGTTTTGAGCCATTTGTTTACTCTTACCCAACTTGTGTATTTCATTATTTACTTTGGCCTGTACTAGATCTCTCTTGATAGTTTCTTCCTTCACCTATTGACACTATAAGACTCTTCGAAACTTAATATCTTAGATTAAGGACTAACTGTGTTTGATTTTGTCTTCAGCTAGCCCTAGTTTGTCTTTGTTACTTGTGGATTTTCATTATTCTTCTCCAGAACAGCTACATTTCTAATATTTTCATCTTTTTCAACAAACTCAAATTTCTAGTTTATTCCTGATTAATAGTGCACCAGTTACACACTAACAAATTTTCTCCTTCTGACAATGTTTTAAAACAGTATAAGATACTTGATCAATGTCCAGTTTCATTGATTTGAGTAGTTTCCTAATATCTTTAAAATGAAGTCAATCTATGTGCTAAACAAATAGTTCATGGTTTCAAGTAAACCACCAATAACTTTTAATCACATGTTGATAAACAGAAGACCATTTTTTAATTAAAAAAAAAAAAATTAAATTAATCCCTAGGAAACTTAATAGGCTCATATTATCATACATAACATAAGTGAGCTATATAGTGCCTGAACACCATCCGCCCTTCATGCATTTCAACATACACGTGAAATGTATGATATATCTATGTCAAGTTACAATACATCTAAGACTAAAATAGAAAAATTGTTTTAGTCACTTCAGATTAGAAATCTAAATAACAAAAATAAGTCCATAATATAATATACATTCCAAGACACAATATCTGATAATTTCATGTTAAAGAAAACTAAATTATGCTTCCGAGTTGAGAAATAACAAGGGGACAAAGCATATGATGCATGAGCCATGAAAATCTCCTGTCCATAAGTTTTATTCATTTCTATCGGGACGTGTTGCAATTTGAGAGACGGCTTAAGGAGACCCCTCCCCTCATATTTCTCTGGTAGTATACCATGTACCCTACTTTAACCTTGCTTGGGTTAAAGGGGGTTTTGGTTTAGAGACTTTAACTGTATGTGTATATGGCTTTCATAGAATCCAAAACTTCATTAAGTACATTTAAGAAACTCTTAATCTATTCACTTACCCTGAAGCTAGCAGATCTGTTGTGGGATTCCACGCACAAATGAATACCTCTGATTCATGTCCCCGCAGTACTGTAGCCTTACTAGGAGGAATTTCAATGCTGCCATCTACTTCCATATTTTCAGGTACCGTTGACTGCACAGCAGCTGAACGAACATAACGCTCATATTAATTACACAATCGGAAAGATAATTAAATTATAATAAAGAAACATATAAGTTTTTACAAATTTCACATGAATAAGCTAACCTTCATCTCCATTAATATCTTGTATCTCTGTTTTAACAATTTGTTGCTTTTGTTGGTTTTGTTGCTGCTGTTGTCGACTGGCCACCACATCAGGCATGACAGCATCAATAAGGGATAAACTTTCCACCAAGCGTTGTTCTGTTCCATCCTTTTAAACAACACACATTTTGTTAACACAAATTAAAAACTTATAGTAGGAATATGCAAAGTCGCACTGTATTACCTCTCCTATGCTTATTTCAGCTTCTGTGTACTGTAGACCTTTCTGCAGTATGCTTAACAAGGCGGCTGGGGGTACTAACGCTCCATTAATATTAGACTGTGATATATGTGACTCAATACCAAATGTATATGCTGAATGCTGGAAACCTACAAACATTAATGTACTCATACAAAAGGCACTTATGTTCCTCAGAGAAAAACAACATTCAGCCAAGTCCAAGCGACCGGTTTAATATACGAATCGCATTGTAAGGTTAGGATTAATAAACAACGCAACATAAATAACCTATTGAATTAGACATGAAACAATTATATACAGACTATCTTAGTGTTTCTGGGAATTCTGGAGTCATTGCAATAAAATATAATTCAGTAACTACAACATCTAAAGTAGAATTTACCCGATTCTTGAAGGTAGCGATAAACCAAAAAGTTCACTTCGTCACTTGAGAAACTCATTTTTCCAGAGCCTTTGAAATCTTAAGTACACATTACCATAAATTCCACGTTCCCTAATCAGTATCAGATCACTATAAATTGGCAGAATGAACAAGATTCACACACGCATCGGACCGCATATAAACAACCACCAACACCACCAACCTATTCTCACCAATTCCCACTCCACTCAAGGTCAAACTATTACCAACTACTCAAAGGCGATGACCGCTCACTCCCAAGCTTACCAACTTACCTTTTATAATTTTCATTATTTAATAGAAATAAGAGCACGAAATAATTGATATCGGAACAGATACGTCTCGAAAGAAAGGGTAATATTACAATGTTTGCCTCCATCGTTTAAATTTGATGGCAACCAACAATATAAAGTAGCCGCTACATAAAATTTTTGTAACGTTATCCCATTGTTTTTGTCTACAAGTTCAACTTCCACATTAACCATGGCATAAGGAAAAAACCTACACCATGATTATTGTTCTTACACCATTATCTTAACTACATAAATATACTCAATAAACTATATAACACTCTATCATGGAGCATACTGAGTTCAACACGCCTCAAAAATTGTTTTTGATGGCTTAACACTTTTAAATATTTGTTGATTAAAACCCTTTTCTTTTCTCGTCGTTACTTCAGGAGAAGAGAAAATTATGTAATCGTACACCGGAAAATGGCGAATATTCGTTAGAAAAACTCTTATTGCCGGGCCCTGGAAAAATCGTTTAATCCTGTTCCTATATTCAGTAAATTATTTGCCCTAACACGTGGTGTAATCAGAATCCTTGTTTTGTGGGTCATTGATACCAAAAAATTGATTATGAGCAAAACATCTGTCTGTGCGTCAGACTGTCCATCTGTTTCAACGCTAGCAAGTAAACCGTTCAGCAGATTTTCTTCAAAATCGATATTCCCCCATCAATGTGAGTTTCAAACGGATATTTTTTTACATGGAGACTCACAAATATTTCCAAAATTTTTCTTAAAAAATTGTTCTAAGGTTTTTGATTAAACTTTACCCTCGGATAGCGTAAAGAACGCTTAGAGAAGTTTAAGTTATGTGTCGAGTTAAGAGACTGATTTTTCAAAAATTGCAGAAGTGCAATTTGTGCAAAGACATCTTAACACAAATGTGCGTTCTAACCATACCCTTGGCAGGTATCAGCTGTTGACGATTTCATCCAATCGGGAGCTTACTACAGCGATATCACTATGATGACGTTCAAGTTGGATGAAAACATCAACATCAGATACCTGCCAGAGACATGGTTAGAAAAATCGCACTGTAAGGTCATATTCAATTTTTCGGAAATACTTTTCTTGGGTTTTCGCGCGAAACATAGGCAATTAACTTTTTAACGATTTTTCTTGAAACCCCCTTCAAATTTGTTCTTTAAATTTACTCCTTGTATATATCAAGAGACGGTCAAATATATGGCGCTCGTTCATTTTCAGCGAACTCTGTATTATCAAAAATTGTAAAAAGTGAACATTTAAAAACAAAATTGAAGGTAGCGATTTTTGCCTTAAAGAAAGTCGGTTCGAAAAAACAGTTAAAAAAAGTTTTTTTTTAATTTTTTGAAAAAAACGAGTGGCTTTCGCGTAATATTTTAAAGTTAAATAATGGTGGCAGCAACAAGCAGTAATACACACGTCATAGGTAATAAATTGTTAATTATACACAGATAAAAGAAATAGAATGTAATTATTGATGGTATGTACATATAACAAAATTAAACACTAAACTAAGTTCATTAAGTTACACATTCAAAATTCTTTCAAATTCTGTCAGCCTTCATGTAGCTCGTTGCATGTATTTTGCAAATGTACATTCCCGCCTGAGATATGGCATAATATTCTGGGGAAACTCATCATGTAGTACTCAGACCTTTAGATTGCAAAAGAAAATTATTCAAATAATGAATAAATGGCATCCGCGTGATCCCTGCAAGCCTCTCTTTATCAAGCTTGGAATCTTCCCACTGACTTGCCTATATATTTAAGAATTTGTAATAGTTGTCAAAAGTAACTCACTTAACGGTGGGAACATATTTTCATGCAATACTGATATTTATAATTATAACACAGGTCGTAAAAATCACGTTCATCAAGTGTTAGTACCAACAACTCACTATCAAAAACCCACATATAATACATGTACGTTACTTTACAACGCATTGCCAGATGCCATTAAACAATTGAAGTCGGTTCACAAATTTAAGTTAAAAGTAAAATCTTTTCTGCTGCATAACTGTTTCTATACAATTAGAGACGATACTGATTATCAAAAAGTAAAATAATGTTTTTTTACAACATATATATATATATATATATATATATATATATATATATATATATATATATGTTAGAGATATATTGAATTAGTTTAAGTTGTATTGTATAATTTTTTTTAAAAGACTTAATGTTTGTAACAAATAATGCATTTCATTTACCGATGCAAATAAGTTTTTTATAACTCGGGAATGAAAAATGTTTATTTTTTCAAATAGTGCTAATTTTGCGCATATTTAAATTGTATTTTTATTTATTTTAAACTTTTACTAATATTTATACTATTTATAGTTAAGATGATGGGAAGGGATTCTGTAACTCAAGAAAACGTGTGCAGATGATCTTCTCTCCCATACGTCACATTCAGTTTTTACTGTTTTTTTTATTTTTTACTAAATAAATGTAAATCTAAATTTAAATCTAGATAATACCCCAGTTTGTATATGTCGCTCGAAATTTGCAAAATTATGAGTATCCAAACTATTCCTAATCGCGTTCAGGGTATCCGTTCCGACACAGTCAGCAGGTAGTGCATTAACAATTCGATTGGCAATAAAGTGCGATCTTTGTCCCGTCCTTGTTCTTTTTTTTCGGTGTGAGATGTCGGCGTGAGATGTGGCGATGAGGCAAGGCATTCGGGCGGCGGCGCAGTGGTAGTGCATACGCTGGCGTCCCCCCGTGAGTTGAAGAAGAATCCGAACGTGCAGGATCAGAATGCAGAAAACAATGTTTAACGTGCAGGATCAGAATTGAGAACGCTGGACGCTGAATGCCCAAAACCAGAATGAACGAGCTGGCGTCTTTAGTTCACCTCGTAGGATCTGCGGATCACGTGACCCTCCTCCACTTCATTTCCCGCGATTGGCGGGCGCGCGTCACCCGGTTTCTTCCACTCTATAGCGTCTTCGTTGTCAAATTTTGCGATACCCGAACGTCATCGGAGTTCCGAGACAAGAGCTCGACGGCGGTGCGTCGCTCGGAGGGACGGTACTTTCCCCTGAGTCACAAGGTACAACGGGTGTAATTTGCCTAAATACAAAAACGGTTTGACATGAAAAAGTGGGAAGCGGTTCATTCGGCAAATTATTAGACTTATGCCTTGAGTGCAGGAATATTCTGATTATTTTTCAATGTAGCCAACATAGGTATTAAAGGACTTGTCTTATTCCAGTGGGAAGCTTACATACGATGAATTGTTTTTAGGAAATTGAGCATCCGAATCAATGGAAAATAAAACTACGTTACTACCAAGTTTAACCTTGCTCGACCTATTCGATGGTCCATATACATTCGAAGAAAGGACAGGGATGCATTTGATGCTTAATAAACCTACTCCAGCTGATATTGGTGTAAGAACTAATGGAATCTACGATGGCGAAACAAGCCTTGTGCAAAGCGCCACAGTGGATATATCGGGCAACTTAATCTCCTACACCCACGTCAAGTATCAATTGTCAGACTTCACCGTCCCTGCCCTGGAGAGTCCCATTTGCATCGCCGGGCCTCCGCAGTGTCCTACACAGAGGTGTTGCTGTTTCCTTACACCCCGCTCACGTGGGCGACCATTTTGGTGTCTCTCGTCGCAGCCATCTTGGCGCGCTATTCGGTGCACTACTACCTAGCGAACGGCGCGCGGCGTGGCGGGCGATGGACTGCGTTCACCCGCGCTGCGTTGGACGTGGTCGAGGTGATCTCCTCAGGCGGCATCTCCCGCAGGATGCTTCTCTGCCCCAACGTGTCCTGTAAGGAGCGCTCCTCTTGTTCTGGTTGGTGCTGAGCAACGCCTACGCCGGCCAACTGCTGGGGCTTCTGACGGCGCCGCCCCATCTCTCCGATCTGCAAACGTTGTCAGATGTCGCTCGGGTGCTTGATGACGTATGCGCATACACCTTCTTGCCGAGCATCTGCAACAATACGAACTCCCCGCAAGCGCTGAGAGATATATGACCCAAGTTGAGATTGGTGAAAATGTAACAAGCGTCTTACGAAGAGTAACCCGTGAGGAGCTCATTAGTATTCAGATACACGCCATCTTTTTCTCCTGCGTTTCTGTCCTCAAGGAATTCACTGAATTCACTTTTGGCACACATCATTATTATTAGAACCTACTTACAAACATTCTGGAGGTGGATAGCTTTCCTTATTAGTCTAGTAATCAACTCGTATCCTGATATCCCACGGGCACAGAAATCATGGAAATTTGGTAAAACCAGATTGTTGACGCAGCAGCTTAGTAAGAACTTTAAATCGCCAGTTGATTTCACAAAACAAATTTGCCAAGTTGATTTCACTGAAGTCCACTCGCAATAACATCAGTTAAATTTGAGTGTGAGTATCTTTCACATATGAGTCCTGACAAATCAGCACATTGAAGTTCTCCAAGGAGACCTTTCTTGCTAATCGCTTCCGATTAAAAGGATTAATTAGTTATTTAACTACAATGTAGATATTCCTACCATTTAGTATCAATATTATAATTTTTCTACAATAATAAAATGGAAATAAATGTTTTAAACTTTAAATAAAATATAACTAATATTTACAATTCAACTGGTTTCAAAATGTTCGTGACAAAACTAATATCGTCCTCATATGCGTACAGCTCGGAGTTTTATTTCGTTCTCAAACGCGTCAAACGTTCAACACGTCGAGTTTGGTTTCGTATGTTCTGCCATGAATTCTAACTAATTTTGCAATTGGACGTTTACAATTTCTTGAAAGTCACTTTTGGGCTCGTCAATAAAATACGAAGCGCTAAGAGGGGGTGGCCGGGCGACGAAACGTTATGCTGGGTTAAATAGGAGTAGGGAGTTCTAGTTTAGTGCTACGTTAATCTGATAGTTTTTTTCAACAATTCTAAAATAACAATTTTATTGAATATTACTCTAAAAACATTAAAATATTAAGGAAATAAATTAAAAAGT